AAAATTATGGGGATTAGAAATTTTTGGGACGCACCCGGTATAATAAAGACAGTACCGAGTTAAATAAATGTAGTTTTCATTTTATCCACTTCCAATCACCTTCCTTGCTTTAATGGATTGGATTTATGTTTTCTCTAAATTACATAAGACATAACTTAACCAGAAAAAAAATTACAACAATCATATATTATTTTTTTTCTCTCCCTGTCGCCGATTCTATTATATCTGTGGAATACATCCTGTTTTGATTAATATTAGGGGTTGTAAATGTTTGACTAAAATTAATAATTTATTATTAATTTCAAAAATTACGTAATTTCGATTATAAAATTTCTTCTATAACGTGTATTTTATAATTTTTATCCTTTTTGGACTCTAAAACGTTTTTTTCTAAACTTTTATTTAAAAAAAACCTCTCCTAAATCTTAATAAAATATAAAAAAGTTTAAATACGATATATTTTTAATTTAATAATTATAGCTTCATTAAAATAAAAAAATTACCCGGCTATGATACGGAGAGTTCAGGCACGGCATATAAATCACACGGCAGGCCAACTCGCTTTGGCGGGAACGCTACGCGCATACCCTTGCGCACGCCGCCATTAATGGGTGCCAGCGACAGAAATTAACCAGTGTCGTAGTCAGTCGTAGTCTTTGTCATCGACAACGTACAGTTACGGCAGCTTTGAGTCAGTGGCGTGCGGCTTAATTTATTTTATTCTTTTCTTGAGTGATATATTTTGTTTTTTTTTATTTTTGTTTATTGTGTGATATATTTGGTTTTTGTAGTTTAGTAGTACAACGGAAGTCTGAAATTCTTTTAGTTTTAATACTCAGTCATTGTCTACGGCATTCAAAGTAATTTTTATTATTAGGTATCCTGCAAAATGACAAACAAGATTAATTTCTAAATTACTGTTTTTCTGATTATCCGTATCTATTTTTAATTTTTATGGATAGCTCATGACAATTCAGAGAGAAAAGAAAAGAGGTCTCGTTTTTTTATTAATTATTAAGGTCTGCCGTTTTTAATAAGATGTTTGCCAGATCATTTTGGCAATTTTCAGTACCCGTATGTAATATTCGGACACAAAGTTTTTAAGTGTTCTTCTAAACTGAATGAATTTATCCTGAATGGGAATAATGACAGGTTTACAAGATATTGGAATTAGAAGAATTACAGGAATTACAAGATAAAGTTGTACCAGATTTTTATGAGTGCAACTGTACACTCAAATCGCTTGTCGCTAAGCTTTTATATAATATAAAATTGTAATGACATAATAAAAGTTTTAAAGAAAAAGCTTATTTTTTCTTTTTAATGTATTTAAATAAAAGCTTGTTTTTAAAAAGTTTTTTTTCTTAAATTTATTTTTTACTTTTTAAGTTATGCTGGTTTCTCAGTGCCACACACTTAAACTCAATTCTTTTTCTTAAATACTACCTATGGGCATCCTAAGAATATGTGTATCCACGGGGGTGTCACTTGTATGGGAAAACAGGCAACAGTCAAATTTAAACGTGCCAGGACCAACGACAAAGAAAGCAACATCTGCCAGGCATTGGCTTTCTTTGTCACTCACATTGCTTAAATCATGATACCGCGGCCATTTTGTCAACAAAGAAGCTGGCCGGGCTGTCCTGGCAAATGATTTAAAACAATTTTGCTTTTTACAATATTAAATTACCATTTGGATGTATTTAATGCGATTATTCAATTAACTGGTAAGTCAGAAATTACACACAAATACTTTATTCGTAAATACAACTAAGATGTAAACGTAGTTTTGTATTTTTAGATTTCAACTTTTGCAAAGACCGCCGATAGAACTTGCCTGGCAGCGTACCTGTTTAATTAAACGTATTATTTCCTGATAATAATATCAAAACACGTAAGTACCTCTATAATTTATGATGAAAAATGATTTTGATTATGTTTTATATTATTTAAATACTTTATAACCTCAAATAATAGTAAGATCCTTGTTTATATCGCACAGCCCGTTCAAAACTGTATTGTCTTCAAAAAATGTTTACAGAACAAACAATTATTACAAAAACAATGTCCTTTTAATCTGATTTATACCTCAGAAGGATGCCAGTTAAATTTTTATTAAATCAACATTACATTATTTGGCCATTAATATGCAAAAAGGAGCATATTGCGTTAACTTAAATTTTCTTTTACTTCTCCTGACAATGTTCTCTATATTCTCTATTTTGAGTTAGTAAACTTTTGAACGGGATGTGCGATATATAAAATACATAATATATCCAAGGGCATGATCTGATAAAAGTATTTTTTGATGCATTTTTTGGTTGTTTATGCACATTGGCTTGGTTTATGTTTTATTCAGCTTATATTTATTTGGTATAACAGTTTTTTTTGCCTTTGGAATGGCATGCATTGAGGCTAGATAGTGTTTCATTAGACCATTAAAGAAATTTAAATTAGCATATATTTTTTGTGATGTTAGTGTGTTATCATGATACAGGTAGTTGTATCATAGTGCCTTATGCATGTTATTTACCTATTATATACTTATGTATTATCAGTAAATAGATGATAATATACTACTAAAATGTCTTTTTAATAGTATGTTTATCTGTCCAATTCACTAGTTATTTGCAAAATGTATTTTGAACTAATTTAAGTCATTAATTGATCATCTTTCTTTTTCAGGTTCCGGGATATTCTTTTTCATTGTTAAAAAATATATATATTTCAATATTATTGTAATATAAATCGCAGCTCTAAAAAAATAAATGATATTGTTTACTAATGTAATTTATTTACTATGAATTTTCTCTGAAAATAATAAGTCTTTAATAATATCATTGATTTGCTGTGTAAAGTTAATAGACATATTTTTAATACATTAAATTATATTAAAGTAATAAAAAAATAAATGTTTATTAACTTTAAACAGTAAGTCAGTGATACTTATAAAAATATTTTTTAAAAATTTCCCTCTTCTTAAAGGCCCGCCCCTCCAATTCCCCTCAATTTAGCTAGTACTGCCAGGCGACACCAGGTGGCGTCTGTTTCCATTTTTTAACATGAAGTTAGCATTTCTTTAATGTACCTATTCTCTGTGTGTATCGATTTTCATAAAAAAGGAGAACTTAAAAAAACGACAGCTGTCAAATTTGACAGTTCAATTGTGAGACAAATAAAATGAAAACCGACTATGGGGTAGGGAGCATCCAATATATCGATTTTTATCAAAATCGGACAACTTTGAGATTTTTTTGACAGCTGTCAAATTTGACAGCTCAATTTTTTTTCTTTCCTTTTAACCCATGGCCATCCTATATATAGATTTTTATCAAAATCGGACAACATTGAACTTTTTTTGACAGCTGTTAAATTTGACAGCTCAATTTTTTTTCTTTCATTTTAACCCATGGTCATCGTATATATCGATTTTTATCAAAATCGGACAACATTGAACTTTTTTTGACAGCTGTTAAATTTGACAGCTCAATTTTTTTTCTTTCCTTTTAACCCATGGCCATCCTATATATAGATTTTTATCAAAATCGGACAACATTGAACTTTTTTTGACAGCTGTTAAATTTGACAGCTCAATTTTTTTTCTTTCATTTTAGCCCATGGCCATCCTATATATCGATTTTTATCAAAATCGGACAACTTTGAAATTTTTTTGACAGCTGTCAAATTTGACGGCTCAAATTTTTTTTGACGGCTTGGCTTTTAAAAATATAGCCAAACATTTATATTTAAATTCATCCGTTACTTTTCTTCCTTTAGCTGATTTGTTAATTTGTGCAATTTGAATATTAACAAAATTTGCTGTCTATTGATGGACATAATTTGTACGTAGCCTCTTTAGATTGTTCAATAGATAATTTATTGGGTATCTCTTTAATTCTTGTTTGTAACTCCTGGACTCCTGGCATGTTTTTTAATTTTGATTGTCTATTCTCTAAAGTTAAATGTTTAATTGATTTTTTCATTTTTACTTTTTGAGAAGTATGCGCGGTTAACGATTCGTTTGTTTAGATAAAAGTATTGTGTAAATAAAATTCAGTTTCAGTCAATTACAGTATTTTTTTAATACGACCCTGTCTAGCAAAAGTTTATTTTCTGGGAAATTTTTTGATAGGTTTTAATCTGGCCCTGACTCGGCACCCATAATGGTATTTTCAAGGCCAAATTTTATAGAAATTTTAAATGTGATTTTAAACAATGGGATCTGGGTAGAGTTAGCCTGCCGTGTGATTTATATGCCGCGATTAGGGGTTGTAAATGTTTGACTAAAATTAATATTTTTTTTAATAATTTCAAAAATTACGTAATTTCGATTATAAAATTACCAAAATTTCTTCTATAACATGTATTTTATTATTTTTATTCTTTTTGGACTCTCTCTCCTAAATCTTAATAAAATATAAAAAAGTTTAAATAAGATATATTTGTAATTTAATTATAGCTTCATTAAAATAAAAAAATTACCTGGCGTTGATACGGAGAGTTCAGGTGTATTTGAGAAACGAAAGACAGTGTTGCGTTTCTCGTCAGAGTCGTCAGGGAACGATCGTTACGACAGAGACAACCTATCTATCGCTCGTGTCGCACTCGTTATAACCTAAAACAATAACACAACAATAACAAGACATTGTCTGACCGCATGTTCCAACTATTTATGAATGAGATGCTCAGTCTATATTTTATTTTAAGTCTATGGAACAATACTATTTTTGTCCTTTATCTCCTATCTGATGCAACACTGTGCGTCGTAACCTCGGATCGTTACCATTTTTCCTGACGCTAGCTAGTGTGTCACGGCCTTGAATGTTTATGCCCCACGCGTGTAAAGAAGTTTCACTTCAAAAAAATAAATAGATCAATTTGATTATGAACCTATGTTCTGAACATTGAATAAAGATTCTTTGCCGGATAGCCCTAGCAGCTTAGGCTTATAAATAAATTGAAGGAAGATTTTTTGCTGGGAACACAAAAATTAAATTAGAAAAAAATTAAACTATAATGTAATTTGTAATATAATATTAAGTTAATGAACTGTTTGCCCATTGCAATACTTCTGTAGGCAATCCACAAAATTTTCCAATAGCTTCTGATAACTGTTGAGATGTTACCATCAATTTAAAAAACTGATACTCCTTCTGGACTCTGGAATTTCCACAATTGATTAATGAGATCAGCTCCAGATTCTAAAAAACACCCTGAGGTTACCTTATATAAGTTAAAACTTTTGAATATATTTACCTCAATGTGTTCAAATGCCTTCATGACAACCGGCCTTTGAATAGTTTGTATACTAGCATGCTTGTTTGCAAATTTAACATATCTATTGTACACCATTTCGAAGTTCATGGGCTGATTATCGTATATATCACAGTGGTGCTTCATAGCAATTATCAGACATAATTCTAAAACACTTAGATCTCTTAATGTGTTAATTATTTCATCCTTCTCCAAAAGATTTAATTCATTTTCAAATAACACCACTGAAAATGATATATTATTTGATAATAAACATATGCATTTTAGCTGAAACAGAAAATTATATTAATAGAGTTATACATGAATAAAATATTTACAAACCAAAAAATGCTTTATGGAATTAAAATTTAATTCTAAATCTATCAATCTTTGAATAATATTTTTAAACTTTTTATCTTTAAGCAGCAAATCTAGAGCCTGATTCCACTCTTTACGTCTGTTTTCACTGATTTTTATCCTAGCTTTATAAGGTATTTCCAAATACCATTTTATATGTACTAAAACAGAATCTAAAGGGAAAATTAAGTAACTAAGCACCTATATTTTCAAAATCAGATGTATTTTTTACCTAATTGATTAATTTTACTCTCGTCTTCTGGTCCAGGGTAGATAAACATTTGCCTGTGGGAAAACCGAGATTTTACACGTTTTTCTAATAGCTGAATAACATCCAGGCGGCACGTGATACCTGAATAAAAATGAAAAACATTTATATTAATTTCAATGCTTGTTAATTGAAAACCTACCTAGAACACAAATGGGTGTTTGAGCACTTTGTGAAATATCAAATAAGTTATAAAGTAATGTTTGATTATGATGAGCACAGAATAAATCAAAATCTTCTAGAACAAATATCACACTCTTGGAGCAGCGCTTTTCGCCTAAAATGTTTATGAAATAAATTATATATAAAATAAAAAAACAATAATTTTTGAAGTGAAACGCGTGATGTTATTATCAATATTATAATTACCTCCCCTTAAGCATCCTAGAAGAAAAACTAAATTTTCTGCAAAACTACCGAAAACTTTGCCGTCCACTGCATTGTCTAATTTCATTTGAAACGTGATACTTTTTAAGGCAAGTTTATCATCAGTGTGAACTAAACCATGTAATTTTACCAGTAAACTATCAGTTCTAAACTTGCCCTTTTCTGACAATTCATTAATAACACTGTTTACTAGCTAAAATGTTTATGTATTTCAAAATAAAACAAAAATAAATCGAGTACATACTACATACCCTCGTTTTGCCTACCCCTATAGAACCAATAATTAAAATAGAATTTGACTCTCCATAGTCTAAAGTTTTCAATAACAAATCTGCCAATTGTGTTCTTTCATTTTCTAGACATAACAGTACATTATTATTTAGAAGTTTATCTTTTAAATAAACTCGAATTTGTTTTACTTCTTCGCACATATTTGAGTGTAGGGTAGAGATATAGAGATAGGAGAATGAGCACCACAGAATAACTACTGAACGATCAGTCCATAGAATAACGAACTCAGAGAAACTAACTGTTTCATCCGCCTGGATCAGTCATGTAATAAAAAAGCGAACAAAATTTTTGCTGCCATCTATAGAGGGCCGAGTGCGGCTCAGGGCTTCAAGGTCAAAATAATTATTTATTAAATAAAAAAGTCGTGTCGGCGGCACGACTCGAACCGGCTACCTTCGTGTTGCTAGACGAGAGCCTTAAGCCCCGTTCTCAGAACAACGTCGTGTCGCGGGCGACACAGTTTGACATTTCAAATAACCAATGGGAGCTGTACTAAATTTAAAATTGACAGCTGTTTGAATTTTGTACAAATCTGATTGGTTCTCTTGACGTGTCGCTGGCGACAGTCGCAGTTCTGAGAACGGGGCTTTAAGCCCCGTTCTCAGAACGACGTCGTGTCGCTGGCGACACAGTTTGACATTTCAAACAACCAATGGGAGCTGTACTAAATTTAAAATTGACAGCTGTTTGAATTTTGTACAAATCTCATTGGTCCTCTTGACGTGTCGCTGGCGACAGTCGCTGTTCTGAGAACGGGGCTTTATCCTCTACACCACCAGATATCTTGACGAGAATTATATCTTAATGGTAATAAATTATGAATTCAGCCTGCTACAACGGATATGTAAAATTTATTCTAGAGGCTGCTTATACTTTGAAAATTCATCTCGTTGCAGTTCATCACAGTTGTATAATTCAAGAAGCACTAAGAAATATGGCTACCTTTGAATAATATAATATGAAAAAGTTGGAGTCGGAATACAATAAAAAGCACGAGAAATACATTTTGTATTAAAAACAAAATAAAGGCAGCTTAAATATAGTTTGAAGCATAAATAAAGGAGTATTTGAAGTACTGTGTGGACGGAAGAGGGAAAGTTCATAAGGGAGTGGATAAAAAAGCTAGAGATGATTATTCATTTTCCAAATTCAAGACCGCAAAAGCAAGATTTTTCAAATTTCACTGTTCACCTCTCTAATACCTCTAATTCACATAATTCTAAACTGAGCCTGGTAGTGCCATTCAGACATTTGAATTTCATCAAAATGATGAGTTACATATCGCAAAATTCATAGCAAAATGAATTTTAAAGACCGAGCCAATCGTAACGTTTGAAGCAACCATACATACACGAAGAACTGTTCTGCAACCATATATACACGACGTAAATTAGCACCATCTATAGTGGGCCGAATCGTCAATTTGTAATTTAATGCTCCATAAGAGTGACTGGGCCCTGATGAGCACCATGAGCACATTAATCCAGACCTACCCAGACAAGACCACAGAATATACTAACGAAAAAGAAACCCAAGTTCCTTGTAATAAATCGGTTCCATTTTCGTAACGCCATCTCTCGACATAGCTGACATTATAGGTTAGCCAAAGGGGTGCGGGGCCGGGGGGAATTGTAAAATACACTTTTTTATTTTAATTATTTTTATTCACTATTTGCAATTTTATTTTAAAACATATAATGTGAAACAATCATATAATATGTCTTAAAAATAAAATTACAAACGGAAACAAAAGGAATTAAATAATGTTCTGGAAAATCTACAAAGTTAATTTCATGATAAAATTATTATTATGGAGATTTTAATCTCCATCATCCATTATGGATCAAACGAATCTCCATTAATAGGGGCGGAAGTTAGGCTATGCAAATTGATAAGTATATTAAGTATAACCCTTTGGTATAACATTGTTAAACAAACATTAACAAATCATAACATATCAGATCATAGAACTAAAAAAGTACTATTACATAAAACAGGTGATACAATACTTCAAAATTAATTTTAACATAATATCAAAAACCGAAAAAATCAAACTGCAAACACAAACCACACACTTTATCACAACAGAAATTAACCATTAGAATATACTAACGAAGTTAAGTAAAAGTTCTTGTAGTAAATACTGATTCCATTTTCGTAACGTAAAATCTCTCGACATAGTTGATATTATAGTTAGCCATAGGGTACTATTGGAATTGTAATACACCTTTTTTTTTTATTATTTTATTCGCTATTGTAATTTATTTTTAAAAATATGTGTGAAACAATCATAATATGTCTTAAAATGGTAAAGCACAATGAAACAAAGTGAATTCAATAATTGAAAATCTACAAAGTTTATTGATGTTTTCTAGTAATGTTCCAACTTTGACCAATTTTATCAATGCTAAAAGATGTAATTGTAAAGCCAAGAGAAAAAATTAAGATCAGAAAACAAAATTTCAATCTTTTGTGAAACATTAAATAGGGAATCTAGCATTTCATAAAGTACCAAAAAATTTTCACACAATAGCAATTCTAATAGTTATAATACTTCAGATGATTTAAACAACAAATTTTATATAATATGTCTAGTATATACATAGATCTGAATTTTGCTAATTGTCACAACATATATAAATAGTAACATTCCTCTCCATTCACTAGCTGGGAATTTAATCCATGCTGTTCAGATGTTCTTTTCTGCAATCTGGTATGGATGATACTTTATTCCATGGCAGCATCTCTACTCATTGATTGCTAAAAATTATCTCTTAAAATATAACAAATGTTTGAAGGTGTGTTACTGTATTCTATGTTGTCACACACGCTATTCCAAACAAACAAATATGATAGCTGAATGGTTCCAGTATACACCTCTTTGGTATAACATTGTTACCTTCAAATATTCACAAAGCATAACATAACAGATCATACAATTATTATTACATAAAAACAGGGTGATACTAATCATTTCATTCATTTTAATTAATATTTACCGAAAAATAAACTGCAAACACAACCACACTTATCACAACAGAAATTAAAACACACTCCCGCGGCAAATGTCCAAGAAAGACTGATCCAGGGCCATGTAAGTGAAATATTAAAAATGGTTCCAGCAAAAGTTTCCAATTATGACGGATGATGGCGCTGATCGTCAAAATTTTTGACAGAAAATTTTGGTTACTGACAATACGATCGTGAGCTACGACTGACAGGACCAATCAGAATGAATGATCAGTCTTTCTTGGACATTTGCTGCGGGAGTGTGTGTTAATTTCTGTTGTGAAGATTATTGTGTTTGCAGTTTGGACGATTTGATCGGTTTTGATATTAGGGTTAAAATTAATTTTGAAGTGTCTGAAAAATTAATTGTATCACCTGTTTTGATGTAATAGTAACTCTTTTTAGTTCTATGATCTAAACATAATGTGCAGCGATTTGTGAATGTTTGCTTCAAAAAATGTTATACCAAAGAGGTTATACTTTATAATATAAATATTATCAATTTGCATAGCCTAAATCTTTTATCAATAAACTTTGTAGATTCTTTTCAGATTATTTAATTCCTTTTGTTTCTTGTTTGTAATTTTATTTTTAAGACATATTATGTGATTGTTTCACATAACATGTTTTAAAAAATTGCAAATAGCAAATAGCGAAAAAAAAATAATAATTAAAATAAAAGTGTATTTTTACAATTCCCCCGGCCCCGCACCCCTTTGGCTAACCTATAATGTCAGCTATGTACGAGAGATACGAAAATGGAACCGATTTATTACAAAGGAACTTGGGCTTCTTTTCGTTAGTATATTCTGTGGACTGATCATTCATTCTGATTGGTCCTGTCCGGTCGTAGCTCACGTCGTATTGTCGGTAAGCAAAATCCCTGTCCAAAATTTTGACGATCAGCGCCATCATCCGTCATAATTGGGAAACTTTTTGCTGGAACCATTTTTACATTTCACTTACATGGCCCTGGACAAGACTAACTCTCTTTTGTTAGTCAAAATTTTCCTCGTGTTATGAAGTTAGTTCTTTAATATTTTGAATGATTCTCTATTAAATTAGTTGATTGTCAAATTAATAAACATGATTTTTCTATTAAGGAACAATTTTATCAGTATCTGAACGTTTTAAAATTTCATATTTTTATTTTTACAGATGCATCTAAAAAGAAAAAGTAACTGGTTTTTGAATAACCGGTATTTTCCTCTAAAATAACCGGTTATTTAAAGGTAGTTTTTTTTTTCACCAGTTAACCTAATAACCTTTAGACATTGTGTTCAATAACCTATAGCCGGTTATTTTTAAAAAAATCGTACTTGCTTTAAAAACAAGTAACAATTAAATATTAGCTGTTTTGAATCGTAAATTTCTGAAGAAGCGAACGGCAGATCGAAGATTTCAAAGAAGCGAACGGCGGATCTTCCAGATATTACGACGATAACGGGAGATCCTGCTCCCCAAAACGAAAATATATGACATCAACATCAAATGTCAAAATTAAATCAGGCATCAGGCGAACCCCTCATGATAATAATCAAAACAACGGCCGAATGGCCCTTCTGACAGGTCAGGCTGTAAAACAAAGTAACTAATGGCAGATAGACTACTACTAGCCACCAGCTAGCCAAGTGATACGAACCTAATTACAAATAGATTCTCTAAATCTCTATATTTAAAGGGAAAAGCATGTGTATTTTAATATACAAACAATCTTCCCAGATAAACAATGGTTTAAAATTTTAGTATATAGATAGAAGACATATTACAACGTTAATTAGAATGCGTACAGCTAATAAGCTTAACAAAAACCATTTATATAAATTAAAGTGAAGGGAAGATCCATTCTGTGAGTGTGTGTGGCTCTGTTGGAAGGACTTTAACGGATTTTCAACGGTTCTCAAAAAGTTTCCATGGTTTCCTGCCTTAGTTTCAACCCACGTTTCACCGTAAATATATATTTACAGTTTTGTAGTTTTGAAGTCTCTCTTGAAGCTTAGACTAAAGAAATACAAAATTAAAGTTCAATTAATGAATGAAGATAATCTTTCATTATCTATTCATTCAGTTCTTCCTTTATTTTCTTTGGTATTTGATTAAAATAACTTGGTGTGTAGATTGTAGAACTTGTGAGTTATTGTGTGGTTTGTTGAACGTTAAGTAATTACTAGTTTTAATATCACATCCATGTCTACTCAA